TGGTTCCTTTAGTTTGAATGTGTGTTTGGTGGCGTGATCATTATTATTTAGAGTCATTGCGTGCCTATTGATTTGAACACGATCCGTGTATCCATCATTTCCTGGTCTTCTCTAAAGAAGAGGGACCAATGAAAACGTTGTCATGTTGCCGTTGTTCAGCATGGAAACATTCATTAGCTAACAATGACATTATTGTTCTATTAATATAAAGGGAGGTCAGGTACTCTTTAAAACAGCTGCTAGTTATGGGTACTTTTTACTGAAGTACATTTCAAAGCCCTCTTTACTTTGACTTGAGTAAAGAAGTTTAGTCAGTACTTCTACTTTTACCAGAGTATTTTTAAACACGAGTATCTGTACTTCTACTTGAGTTAAGGATGTGTGTACTTCTACTCGAGTAAAGGATGTGTGTACTTTAACCCTCTCTGCTCTTCCTGCATCCTTCCTGCCCCCCCCCCCCAGTGATCATCCATCACTGTTAACCGACCACTGTCCGCTGCTGCGACTAACTGGATCTCCACAATTGAATCGAGGCCTAAGTGTGTGGTAAATGCTCTCAATGGGTAAATGAATTTGCGGGTTAACTCGCCCTAAGAGCGTTTAGATAAGGGCAAAAATAATAAAAACACCTACGAGAGATATTTTTCCTCGTGATATATTGAAAACAAAGCAAATGTTAACTCTCACATTCGTCACCATGACACTGGGAGGAGTGGATGCTCCAGAAACAAGTAACAAATAATGAAAACAAGGTATTTTCTCTTGTTATAAATTCAAACATCTGCCGATACAACAAGTGAATTGTTGCTTGGTAAGATTTGTTGAAATAAGTTGATAAATCTGATCTTGAAAATAGCTCTGAAATCTTATTTGAGCTTTATTCACCAGAATCAGGAGGTTTTCTGTTTTCTGACGTAGTTGGTGATTTTTCCATAAAAATGTAAAAAGAGTTATGTTTCATGTGAGATACAACAACAGAAAAACCCTGATCCTAACCCAATAGAGCAAGTGTATATTAGCATGGTAAGATTTCTTGAAATAAAATGAGATATTTAGATCAATCAGGTCTTCTAATTAGCTCTGAAATCTTATTTTGAGTTATATTTTACGAGGATCAGGTCATGATTTGCTCAAAATGCTCAAAAGTTTCCTGTTTTTTGATGCAAATTGGTGATTTTCCCATAAAAATGTAAAAAAGAATAATGTGTTTCATTTGAGATACAACTCAAAGAAAAACTAACCCTCACCCAATAGAACAAGTGTATATTAGCTTGGTAAGAATTCTTGAAATAAGACGGTATATTTAGATGAATCAGATCTTGTAAATAGCTCTGAAATCTTATTTGTACCTATATTTGAACAGAATAAGCTCAAAAGTTTTCTGTTTTCGGACGAAGATGTGTGATTTTCCCCCAAAAGAACCTTGTTTCATGTGAGATACAACTCTAAATAATGTGTTTTCAAGAGATTCAAAGATGCATTGTCTAAAAACAAGACCTTATATCTCACTGCATTGTTTCTTCTTAAGTTATGAGGTGTAATATCAAGTGTAAAGACATATTCTGAGCAGATATCACACATATTATTGTAGTTTTTGAGTAAAGAGCGAATCAGTCGTAACCCAAAGACAGCTTTATTTTCCTCATATAGATTTGACTGTACACGGTTCATACCATTACACAGAAGGCATAAATGAATAAATTCAGTGCTCTCTTTTACATCTTTTTCAAAGACACATGGCAAGAATAATAATAATAATAATAATAATAAATAGCGCTCATGAAACAAGACAACACGTTTTCAAACTGTACAAAATTTACAACAAGATGCAAACTGCTGAGACGACACGGACTTAACAAAAGTGTTTGTGGCGGCGTTTTGTGTTTTCCCCTCAAAATGTGGATTATAGCTTTCAGACGACACTGAAAACAACGTGTGAATAACGAGCACCAAGGAAGCGCTCACTGGTGATTTCATACTGGGATCAATGGGTACAAATGTGCATTTAGGGTCAGGAGGAGAGAGGAGGCTCTCTGGAGGAGCTATAACCGAGGAGAGAGGGAGAGAGGAGAGAGGAGAGAGGAGAGAGGAGAGAGGAGAGAGAGGAGAGAGAAGGCTCTCTGGAGGAGCTATAACCGAGGAGAGAGGAGAGAGGAGAGGAGAGAGGAGAGAGGAGGCTCTCTGGAGGAGCTATAACCGAGGAGAGAGGAGAGAGGAGAGAGGAGGCTCTCTGGAGGAGCTATAACCGAGGAGAGGAGGAGAGAGGAGAGAGGAGGCTCTCTGGAGGAGCTATAACCGAGGAGAGAGGAGAGAGGAGAGAGGAGAGAGGAGGCTCTCTGGAGGAGCTATAACCGAGGAGAGAGGAGAGAGGAGAGAGGAGCTATAACCGAGGAGACATACTTTTAACCCTTTTACGTAATTATTTCCTACATTTTTTAATACTGTCATTGATATTAATTATAGTTATTGAATCCCAGTATAGTTTCCATGGATACGGTGTATGTACTGGGTATTTAGGGTGTAATCTGCAGGCTGTAATCCAGAGTGTTTTCTTGGTGTCACTTTCTGGCTCTTTAATAGGATGCTCTGGTAAAAAAAACTAAAAAGGTACTTGGCAAATTTTCACAAAAAGGTGTCGATATAAATAAAAATGTACTTTCTTGAACTGAAATAAAAGTAAGGATGTGTAAAACTGGCTCAACAGGTCGAAGTATTAGCGCTAAAACTGCATTTTTAAGAGACTTTTAGACGCTTAAAGTGACTCGGTCTTCTATCTGTGTTGTTGTACAGTACGTATTTAGATATTAACGCTGCAATGTGTGTGGGCTGTAATCCAATCTGTTTGCTTCAAAGTGTCACTTTCTGTTGGCTGAATTGCTTTCTGGCTCTTCAATTAAGATTATCTGGTTTTAAAAAAAGCCATTTTTCACAAAAAGGAATCCAAACTGATAAGATTGACTTTCTTAAACAGAAATAACAGGTCAAATCAAAGTATTAGAGCTAAATCTGAGACTTTTAGACGCTTAAAGTGACTCTGCCTTCTATCTCTGTGTACGGTACGTTTTTATAATTAATAATGTGTATTTATCTATTTACGCTGCAATCCAAATCGTTTTAGTGTCATTTTCTGGCTCTTAAATGAGACTTTTAGACGCTTAAAGTGTCTCTGTCTTCTGTCTCTGTTGTCGTCCAGTAAGATATTCATTAATAATGTGTATTCACCAGATAGTAATGCTGCATTTTGCTTTAAAGTGTCTCTGTCTTGTGTCTGTTGTTGCCGGGCAGCTTTAATGTGACCATGTGAGCGCAGGGTTTCAGAGCCCCGGATGGTGGGGGGGCTCTGAGTAATCCCCCTGACATGGAGGCCAGCAGAGGGAGAACAGATTGACTCACATCTGGGGTGGTAAGTAGGATGGTCGCTCTGCAGGAATAGAGGAGATTACCCGGAGAATCCCAGATCAGACGAGGAAACACAAGAGAGACGTTTTATCCTCCTGGTAATACTTGTTGGCGTGAATGTTACTCACTCCATGAAATCTCTTTGTCTCTGCGTTCAAAATAAATATGCATTTCAATGTGATATATTACTTCAAATGGTTGCTTCCTCCTCCAACACGTGATCTCCTTTAATACTGACAGCTATACGGATGAATAAAACCTGCTGTGTAGCAAACGGAGGAGTTTCTCTACGGACTAAGAAGCTTCAGCAGTACATTAAAAAACATCAGCATGGTTTCAAAATTCACACTTGTGCCACTGTTCTTGTAAATTTCCCTCCGAAATGAAACACTGTGTTTTTTTGCCTTGTGCATATGTCTCTCCTCCTGCTCAGGACCAGAGGAGGAGAGTAAAGTGCGTCGCCGCTGTGGACAGAAAGGCTCGGACAGACAGCAGTCCATGAGTCAGAATCAGAAGCATGCAGGGTCTCGTAGGGACTTTGATCTGGATTGTAGCCCTAAAGTTGTATCTGGGGGGGGGGGGGGGGGGGGGACCATAGGGCCTCCCCTGTGAGAGGTAATCCAACCAAATCCAGTCTCAGGGTGAGAGAACAACACAAAAAGTGTATGATACAGTGTTGAGATGTACGGAAGAGGAGAAGGGCCACATGAGAGATATTGTTGGGATGTAAGCAAATGTTAAAAAAAAAGTCAGACTTTTGGGATTGAAGTCCGAATTTTTTTGAATTGGTCAGATCTCAAAGATGTGATGAAAGGAAATGTAAAAAGCCAAATGAGTTTTTCCCAGATTCAAAACTGGGAATGGTCCATCTCGATTTACGGAAGAGGATAAGAGCCACGTGGGAACATTTTGGGAGATAAAAATGTGGTTTCTGAAAAGTCAGACTTTTGGGATTAAAGTCAGACATTTTTTCTTTTTTTTTAGTTGGTCAAATCTCAACAATGTCCCACATGTCCCCCCCTCCTAATCATCCTCCGTAGAGATTGAACTTTCAGCAGTGTTGAGATTTACGGAAGAGGATAAGGGCCACATGAGAAAATGTTAGGGATGTGACCAAATGTAAAAGAAAAACGTTTGGGATCAGAATTTTGAGAATGAAGTCAGAATTCTGAACTGGTCAAATCTCTAATATGTTCCCACATGTCCCCCCCCCCAATCGTCCTCCGTAGAGATTGAACTTTCAGCAGTGTTGAGATCCACTTTTCACTCCTCACAAACCAGTCTTTGGGGGGTTGATAGAGGGGGTTGATAGAGGGGGTTGATAGAGGGGGTTGATAGAGGGGGTTGATAGAGGGGGTTGATGGAACTGAAAAAGCCAGGTGAGTCCACAGCGCTTCTGCCTTTCTGCCGTGTTTTCTACGAGATTCAAAACTGGGAATGGTCCATCTCGATTTACGGAAGAGGGTTAGGGCAACGTGGGAACATTTTTGGGGATGTGTTGAGAGTTGAGATCCACTTCTTCCACAAACCAGTCTTGATAGAAGGAAATGTAAAAAGCCAGGTGAGTCCACAGCGCTTCTACCGTGTTTTTTTTTCGAGGTTCAAAACTGGGAATGGTCCATCTCGTCCAGCCACGATGCGGGACTTGTGGGGAAGTCGGGGTATCCTGTACTACTTCCTGTGGAGAGGTCTGAGTTGGGCCCCCCCCCTCCCATGGCCCTCAGACCCTGCCCCCCACCCCCCTGAGCCACCAGACTGTCCATGCTGAAGCCCAGGCTGTGGAGGGGCAGCGAGGTGATGGAGGAGGGGGACTGCGGCAGGCCGTAGGGACTTCCCGCCCGGATATCATCGTGATACTGTTGTCCCGCCGCGTCCACCGAGAAACCGTTTCCGTTCAGCGCCACGATGTTCACGTCCCCCACGCTGTTCACGTCCCCCACGCTGCCGTACAGCCCGTTGGTGTGGCCGAGGTCCGAGAGCACCTGGTCGTCTGTGGGAGAGGAGAGAGATAGTTAGTTTTGCGCTGTCACAAAAAGTGAGAACAGAACTAGGTAAAAAAGCTTTTCAAAGTCAACTTTATTGTCAAACGTTCTTTGTGTGTACAGACAGAGAGATCCAAATACCGTTTCCCACAATCCCGAATACAAAATACAAATATATATAACGTGTGAATAAAGAGCACCAATGAAACACTTACTGGTGATTTTATACTGGGATTAATGTGTTTTTTTAGGAGACAGTCAATTCATATATATCCAAATATCACAAACTACACACTGTCCTTAAAGAGGCCCTATTACGCTGGTTGGGGTTTAGCCTCTCCTGTAGTGTTTCCTATAGGTTTTAGTGCATGTAAACGGTCTGCAAAGCCTAAAATCCCTACATTTTTGGAGAGTTTAATGGCTTCAAGCTCACCTATTATGCCATATTTGAACACTATAGGGCCATATCTACTGTAGCCTCAAACCCTCTGTTTCCGCCCTGTTACTAAAGTGCTGATCCTGGGTCAGTAGCTACGGGGCCACATAGAGCTGCAGAGAGAAGGTTTACAGCAGAAGAGAATCAGAAACTCAGCTAAATGCTCCATATCATGTTCCAAACCACATCAAGGATTCTCTCTGAAACAGCATGGAGCTCAAACTCTTTCTCTCTCTCAGGTTTACCACAAGGTGAGTTCCTTCTTATTTCCTGCTTCTTCACACATGCTCTCTCCAGTACAGGTTAGCTCTGAGTGTTAGCATGCTAATGTAAACACAGACCATATTACTTCCAGAACACGTCTCATTGTTTCTGAGAGCAACGTTTCTGATTGGCCCGTGGGTGTAAAGCCCGCCCACATTTTTTGTAATGTCGTCATGACGCAGCAAATCTGGATCAGCTCCGTTGTTCCCCCGTTTTTAGAGATTTTTTTGTTTTCTGACACTTTGTGAGTCTCCTCACCGGGGACACACCGGGGACACGCCGGGGACACGCCGGGGACACGCCGGGGACACACCGGGGACACGCCGGGGACACACCGGGGACACACCGGGGACACACCGGGGACACACCGGGGACACGTATGTATGTATAAAAGACATCAAAAAGTGCATTTTGCATGATATGAGACCTTTCAGTGCAGTGGGCTTTCAGTATTCTGATGTCCTGATATCACTGGTCAATATATATTGGGGTTTTCCCTTTCCTGTAGTGTGTAGATGTTGGTGCATGTGAATGGTCTGCAAAGGCTAACATCCCTGTGTTCCCTCCACACTGCCCCACACTCCCTAAACTGAAAATGAGCTCCTTCTACCTCCAGAAGAAAGCCTATATTTAACGGGGAGAACGCTCCCTCTCATCATCACCTTCACTTAGCATGAAGCGTGTTAAAACTTTAACACATCAACCGTGCTGTCAACTGCAAAAGCATTATATAGTTGTTATTCTTCAATACAGTTAAGTGCTTTTATGGGTGGGAGTTATTGGGGTTTCACAGGTACAGTGAGTGGAGGCTGAGCCAGTGCTTGGTATTTGATCTGTGCTTCTTCTCCCTCTCCAGCATCAGGAGGTCTGTATGTGTGCGGTCGCTGCAGCATGTATTTGTTTCCATCTCCCTCCCCCGAGTGGCTTCAATACCAACACAGAGCGCTTTCTCTCTAATTGACTAAAAGCCCCCGCGTGCTTTATAGAGTTTCTGTCACCATGTTTTCATTTCTCATAAAAACGGGCCTTTCTTTTTTAAAAGTGGCTCGAAGACTTTTACGACTGCGCCCAAAACGGGTTTTGCAACATTAAATAACACCGGGATGTCCGAGCTGTCGTTTGCATCCCACTAAGAAGCCTCTCTGCGCTCCAATAAGCTCCATCACGGCGGCAGGCGGTGTGAGGGGAATGTGGATGAGACTCTCTGTATCCACACAAGAAAACAACATTCAATTCATTTAGCAGCTCCATCCATCTCATTAGGGTTTACTGACACTACACTATACTGAGCAGGAGAGGACTCTTTAAAGTAGAGGACACTACACTATACTGAGCAGGAGAGGACTCTTTAAAGTAGAGACACTACACTATACTGAGCAGGAGAGGACTCTTTAAAGTAGAGACACTACACTATACTGAGCAGGAGAGGACTCTTTAAAGTAGAGACACTACACTATACTGAGCAGGAGAGGACTCTTTAAAGTAGAGACACTACACTATACTGAGCAGGCAGGAGAGACTCTCTTAAGTAGAGACTCACTACACTATACTGCGCAGGAGATGACTCTTTAAAGTAGAGACACTACACACTGAGCAGGAGAGGACTCTTAAAGTAGAGACACTACATACTGAGCAGGAGAGGACTCCTTTAAAGTAGAGGACACTACATACATGAGCAGGAGAGGACTCTTTAAAGTAGAGACACTACACCCTGAGCAGGAGAGGACTCTTTAAAGTAGAGACACTACACTGAGCAGGAGAGGACTCTTTAAAGTAGAGACACTACACACTGAGCAGGAGAGGACTCTTTAAAGTAGAGACACTACACACTGAGCAGGAGAGGACTCTTTAAAGTAGAGACACTACATACTGAGCAGGAGAGGACTCTTTAAAGTAGAGACACTACACACTGAGCAGGAGAGGACTCTTTAAAGTAGAGACACTACATACTGAGCAGGAGAGGACTCTTTAAAGTAGAGACACTACATACTGAGCAGGAGAGGACTCTTTAAAGTAGAGACACTACATACTGAGCAGGAGAGGACTCTTTAAAGTAGAGACACTACATACTGAGCAGGAGAGGACTCTTTAAAGTAGAGACACTACACACTGAGCAGGAGAGGACTCTCTAAAGTAGAGACACTACAGTACTGAGCAGGGATAGGACTCTTAAATGTAGAGGATAAAACTACATACTGAGCAGGGAGAGGACTCTTTTAAAGTAGAGACAACTACATACTGACAGGAGAGGACTCTTTAAAGTAGAGACACTACATACTGACAGGAGAGGACTCTTTAAAGTAGAGACACTACATACGGAGCAGGAGAGGACTCTTTAAAATAGAGACACTACATACTGAGCAGGAGAGGGACTCTTTAAGTAGAGACACTACATACTGAGCAGGAGAGGGACTCTTTAAAGTAGAGACAAACTACATACTGAGCAGGAGAGGACTCTTTAAAGTAGAGACACTACATACTGAGCAGGAGAGGACTCTTTAAAGTAGAGACACTACATACTGAGCAGGAGAGGACTCTTTAAAGTAGAGACACTACATACTGATATACACCTGAACATCAGCAGGAGAGGACTCTTTAAAGTAGAGATACTACATACTGATATACACCTGAACATCAGCAGGAGAGGACTCTTTAAAGTAGAGACACTACATACTGATACACCTGAACATCAGCAGGAGAGGACTCTTTAAAGTAGGACGCTACATACTGATATACACCTGAACATCAGCAGGAGAGGACTCTTTAAAGTAGAGACACTACATACTGATATCACCTGAACATCAGCAGGAGAGGACTCTTTAAAGTAGAGACACTACATACTGATATACACCTGAACATCAGCAGGAGAGGACTCTTTAAAGTAGAGACACTACATACTGATATACACCTGAACATCAGCAGGAGAGGACTCTTTAAAGTAGAGACACTACATACTGATATACACCTGAACATCAGCAGGAGAGGACTCTTTAAAGTAGAGACACTACATACTGATATACACCTGAACATCAGCAGGAGAGGACTCTTTAAAGTAGAGACACTACATACTGATATACACCTGAACATCAGCTGGAGAGGACTCTTTAAAGTAGAGACACTACATACTGATATACACCTGAACATCAGCAGAAGGACTCTTTAAAGTAGAGACACTACATACTGATATACACCTGAACATCAGCAGGAGAGGACTCTTTAAAGTAGAGACACTACATACTGATATACACCTGAACATCAGCAGGAGAGGACTCTTTAAAGTAGAGACACTAAATATTCTTGCAAGAACGATCTGTGAAACGATCCATGAGTACTTTAACTTTGGATATTTGTGTTGTTTTACATTTACCTGACAATATTTCTTTACTTGATATTATGCTGTAATGGGTCATTGTGCAGAATGAGTACTTTTTAGGAACCAATCAGGAGTAATTGAGTATTTTACAACTATAGTATTTGTGCTTGTACTTAAGGAAAGGATCAGAGTACTGAGTATCTCGTACCTCTGAAGCTCAGCTCGCTGTCGCTCAGTCCTGCGTCATCGGCCGAGCTCTCTTTCTCCACTTTGGTTCCCCCTCTGTTGCGTTTCACACTTTTATAAAACTGAGTCCAGCGATGTCGCCCTGCGTCTTTCTTCAGACGCTTCTCCTTCGCTCGCCGGTTCTGGAACCACACCTGAAGGAGAAAATAACAATGAAACATTTAGGCAAAGCAAGACAAGGCAAGTTTATTTATATAGCACCTTTCAACAAACAAATATATATAAAAATATGTATGCAAATATGTATATACCTATATATACACAATCAAAAGACACATTTATACATATCTATACATTAAGACCTAAATAAAACACAACAATCAATATATACAAAATAACAGTCACTTCAATATCTTTGAGAATGTACATTAGTGCAAGACTGTCCATAGCAGCGTGAAAAGTGTCTGGTGCTGGATTTGAGTGGATTTGAGTAGAGGCTCACTCAGCTTCATCCTGACTACACAGATCAAGTGTTTGTTGTGTTTTAAACATAGTAGACATGTTCTGTATATATCAGAGAACTATGATATATTGATGAAATAAATAGTATAATAGGGGACCTTTAAGATGCATTGTCTAAAAAGTTTAAAACAAGACACCATATCTCACTGCATTGTTACTTCTTAAGTCTTATATCAAGTGTAAAGGACATATTCTGACTACACAGATCACGTGTTTGTAGTGTTTTAAATGTCAAAGTGCATAAATATTCTCCCCTGTACCTGCACCACCCTCATGTCCAGCCCCGTCTCCGAGGACAGCTGCTCCCGCACGTGACGGGCAGGTTTTGGGGAGTTTTTGTAGGCACTTTTCAGGGTCTCCAGCTGCTTGGCGGTGATGGTGGTCCTCGGCCTCTTGGTCCCCGCCTCTGAATCATCTGAAAACACACCATTACAAGTGTGAGTGACTTCCTCTCACACACACTCTGCCTGTGCATGTTAAATGAAGTGAGTATTCGTGTACAGGAGTGTATTATTGTCCTTGTGCATCTGTCCAAGTCCCACAGCAGAGGACATAAATCCTCACAGCTCTATAACAGCTTCCACTTTACATAATCAATCAATGCATGGAAGTCTCAACGGAGAGAGACAGCAGCACACACACACACAACACACACAACTACACACCACACACACAACCCACACACACACAGACACACACACACAACACACACACAACACACACACACACCACACACACACACAACACACACACCACACACACACACACACCACACCACACACACCCACACAGAACACAAGCACAACCAGAACACACATACACACACACACTACACCACACACACACACACACACACACACACACCACACAAACACACACACACACACCACACACACACACACACACCACACACACTCACACTACACACACACACACCACACACACTCACTCACACACACCACACACCACACACAGAACACACACTCCATACACTCCATACCATTTTTTCCCATTTTAATGACTTTTTTTAATGTTTATTTTATTATGAACCTGTTTTATTTATTTAAATTGACTGGATCTTCGTTAAGGATCAGCAAATGTTGTGGCTTCATATCTTGAATGCATACAGCGTTAACTATTGTGCAATATGTGGACATTGTCAGTGGATCTGTGTGTGTGTGTGTGTGTGTGTGCAAACTGTGTATGTCTCTTACTGTCTAACATCTACGATGAAGGATGTGTATCTTCTGAGGACCCGACAGACAGAGTCTCGAACACATCTCCTTACAGGGACAATAAGATAACAATCATACCGTTCTGTTTGGCGGTCTCGTAGTCCACCTTGCAGACCAGCCTCCCGTCCTCCATCAGTAGAACTCGGCCCCGGTGGCCAGCTGTCTGGAGCACATGATGCAGGCGAAGCAGTGCAGGTGGTACACGAAGTCCTGCGCCTTCCTCACCACCTGAGTGGGGGGGATGCCCTGCTGGCACGAGGCACACTTTGTTCCAAACCTCCTGGAAGAACAAGAGAAGAGAGTGACGTTAGAACTTTTACTACAAGACATGAGACTGACATCTTTCTTCTGTTCACAGTGCTAAGTAACTGAGCACCTTCGTACCTAAAATATATTTTAATCCACTATCGCCCCGCTAGAACATTACGCTCCCAGGTCTGTTAGAGGAGCCCAGAGTCCGCAAAACAAGATCAGGAACGTTCAGCTCCCTTTCTCTGGAACCAACTTCCTGTTTTAATCAGAGAGGCAGAGAGTGTCCAAACCTTTAAGAGTGCGTTGAAGACCTACATTGTTAACAAAGCCTTCGGTTCGAGCTGGCATTTCATGGTATTCATTTAAACATACTGTATCTGAGTACTTCTACTTTTACTCAAGTACACGATCTGAGTACTTCCTCCACCTGTTTACGCCCTCTTCACTTTACAGGCTGGTGGTGTTAGCGACACCGACCCAGATTAAATGTCTCCTGCTGCCAGACAGATATTCCTCATCTCCTCAGGAGGACTGATGGCCACGGTGTCAGAATTACAGAAGCTCCAGCTGTTGCAGAGAAAAATCAGACAGTGGAGGCATTTCTGTTAACGATGGAGCTGTCTGCAGGCTGATGGATGGAGAGGATCAATGCACTGTGTGTGTGTGTGTGTGTGTGTGCTGTGTGTGTGTGTGTGTGTGTGTGTGTGTGTGTGTGTGTGTGTGTGTGTGTGTGTGTGTGTGTGTGTGTGGTGTGTGTGTGTGTGTGTGTGTGTGTGTGTGGTTGTGTGTGTATGTTTTATGTGTTTGCAGAGAAGTACTGAGACGCTAACGAGGAGGCGGACGGCGGAGGAGGCGGAGGCAGGAGGAGGAGGAGGAGGGGAGGAGGAGGGAGGGGGAGGGGGGGGGTGCCCACAGTAAACACACCCTGAGGAGAACCAATAAAACACTGACTCAGGAGAGGCTTTAAATCACAGCGCCAACCCAGGAAATAAAAAGAGCAGTGAAGCTCCAATCACTGCTGAGGAAACAGCCCTGTGTGTGTGTGTGTGTGTGTGTGTGTGGTGTGTGTGGTGTGTGTGTGTGTGTGTGTGTGTGTGTGTGTGTGTGTGTGTGTGTGTGTGTGTGTACAGTGGTGTAGAGTAACTAAGTACATTTTAGTATTAACATTTGATGCTACGTTTGTACTTCTACTCCTCTACAGTTCAGAGGTAAATGGGTGTACTTCTACTCCACTACATGTATTTAATACCTTTAGTTACTTCACAGATGTGGAATGAATGATGTGAAATCTAATCAAGTGTTAAATCAGACTTTAGTTTCCCACCTGGAGTAAATTCACAGCTACCCTGCAGTATACAAAGTCATTCAAACTAGCTGCACCTTTACCAGCTTTGAGAACACTTTCATGATCAATCATTATAAAACATATCATATATATTATTCTGAAATGGACCAATCTGCACAATGACTACTTTTACTGTCGCTACTTTCACTATATTTTGATGAGAATACTTTTATACTTTCACTTGAGGAACATTTTGAATGCAGGACTTTACTGTAACAGAGTATTCCTACACTCTGGTACTTCTACTTTTACTCAAGTACAAGATCTGAGTACTTCTACTTTTACTCAAGTACAAGATCTGAGTACTTCTACTTTTACTCAAATACAAGATCTGAGTACTTCTACTTTTACTCAAGTACAAGATCTGAGTACTTCTACGAGATCTGAGTACTTCTACTTTTACTCAAGTACAAGATCTGAGTACTTCTACTTTTACTCAAGTACAAGATCTGAGTACTTCTACTTTTACTCAAGTACAAGATCTGAGTACTTCTACTTTTACTCAAATACAAGATCTGAGTACTTCTACTTTTACTCAAGTACAAGATCTGAGTACTTCTACGAGATCTGAGTACTTCTACTTTTACTCAAGTACAAGATCTGAGTACTTCTACTTTTACTCAAGTACAAGATCTGAGTACTTCTTTCACCTCTGAATGTGTGCATGTTGCTGTGAGTATGTACAGTCACACACACACACACACACACACACACACACACACACACACACACACACACACACACACACCACACCACACCATGCTAGCGTCTCCCTTGTTGTCCCTGGGGGGGCTAACACTGTTAGCATCTCACTGAGTCTCCAGAGCTCTTTAGCTCTCATTCAGGCTCTGAGCATTAAAACCTCTCCAACATGATTTGGTAAAAAGCTCCGATCTGCTGATCCTGTTCTGGATGAAAGTCAAACTCAATTTTCTTTCTTTAATGCCTCAGAAATCCAATCGTTTGACGGCAAGAGAGAAAGAAAGAAAGAAAGTGGTTTTGAGCTCTTATTTTGAAAGGTGTTGCTTACTCTTTCAATATCAACAGAAAAAATGCATAAAAGGTGACCTTTTATTATTATTAAATGAATAATAGAGAATACCATCAGCAATATTATTATGCAATTCATATAATTAAGCATAAAAAGTCCATTATGGTACCATCCATTTATAACAGACTGGCAAAATGATAGGTGTTAAACTCAAAATTGAATTGGACAGAATAATTATTCACCAAAATAAAATATTATTACCAGCGGTTTTTTTATAGCTGTTTTGGTTCAGAAATAAACAATAAAGCTGATAAAACCTTACTGCAATAATACCGGGATATGTCGAAATAAGACGCTGTATTTATGCTAATATGCTAATAACAAGTAGGCTAGCCGTTACCATATTTACAAAATACACATCCTGTAACAGTTCTGAAGAGTGCTTTGACTCGAGAATCTGAATGCTTTTTCCGCCACTGCAACCATGAACACATATATATATATATATATATATATATAATATCTTAATAAAATAAGAAGGAGCCTCACTTGAAGAAGTCCTCCTTGCAGTACACGCTTCCGGCCCGGGAGAAGCATTTGTCCTGCAGAGGAGCCGTGCAGTCGGCGCACTTCAGGCACTTGGAGTGCCAGTGTCGGTCCAGCACCTTCAGGATGAATTTGTCCAGGATGTGTTGACTGCAGCCGGCGCAATGAGGGATTTCTGCGGGCAGAGGACAGTCAGAACACCCGGTAGAAACAGGGGGAATACATGGGTTCATGCAAGCGTAGAAAAGGGACAATTTCATACATTAAATCCGATTTGTTGCACTATGCACTATATATTATCCAGTTATCTCCAGAGCGTTCATTTCTCCTTCTCTCCCATTTATTTCTCATGCTTTAATATCGAGACAGCCTGCTATGTTTAACATAGGAACATAAAGATGTGTTTACAGCCACGGTACGGTGGTTTAGCTTAGACTAGATCCTCAGTGCCTTTTTCTTTTTGCTCTCTAATCCCATCGTTTCTTGACTCTCAGCTTTTCTGTAGGACATAATATCTGGATATATATATTTTTGCACTGGATTTGTCCCAGAATGCATCGTGAAAAAAGCACAATATTTCAGCCTAGTTTGGTTTCATTTCCTACTTTTAAACCCATAGACTGGATATATAAAAAACCTTATACAAATTCAATTAAATGTCATTAAACGTACATTTTATAAATAGTATGTGGCTATATTTGATATACTCAAAAGCTTGTATCAGCCCTGTCTTTCAATTGTCTGATCAGCCATGTTAAACATATTTTTATCTTATTCCTATTTGGTTTGTTTTTATGTTATTTATTTAATTTTTTAACACACTTTTGTCTTATTTTTCATTATTTTAAATAACTTAATATACGTAGTATTTTTATTTAATTGCATTATCTTTGTTAACAATAAAAACACGGTATTCTTTGTTTAAAAACAAATAAATAGATGAAATAATGAGTGTGGGTCTTTTTGTGTTGGAAGGCTTTGTAAAATATCTCCGTCTCGATCAGGGGGCTGAACTCGGAGCTTTTTCCCGGCAGTACAAAGAGAGAGGGACCTACTTTCTGACAAATATATTGGCTTTTATGATCATTTTTCGACCACTTTGGTTCCTCTTTAGCCTTTTAATCTCTGTGTACGGTATTTTCTAGCACTACGGTGGCAAGAAGGGTCTAAAATAGATTACATTTTGTAGTTTTTCTTAAAACACGACCACAGCAGAAACATGGCCCGTATTTAACCTCCGGATTCCTTCATGATTTAAAGCTTCTGCAGCGATGATCTGCTGTAAACTGCATATCTTTTAAAGGTGAAATCGAAATTATAACTCAAGGACAGTCTGATGTTTATCCATCTCAAAATGCATATTTGCGCTGCAAGCTGGGCCTTCAATAAACAACCAAATGCACGCTACAGTATATCAGGAACTGGTCTATTTATAACAAGACTTTAGCCATAATTACACTCAATATTTTAATCATATTTAACAAGGACTTAATCCGGGTTTTATATTGACAAACAAGGCCTTGTCCTTTCGTTACAAGTATATATATCTTTTTTTAAATGTTCTGTAAATAGCTGTGCCTTTTTTTTTTTTTTTTTTTTAAATAAAATGCTCCTTCGTGGTTTCACTTAGTCAAACAGCACATGATATCCGATAATGAAAAATCAATACCGAGGATAAATGCACCGAGCAAACGCCAGAGAAAACAACAGAGCAAACACACACTCACTGACACACAAACACACACATTCACACACGTGTAATATATACACACACACAACACACACACACACACACACACACACACACACAACACACCACACACGCTCTTCACTGTCGAGACAAAACATCAGCAGCTATAAAGCTCAAGATGCTCGTGCTTAATCTGATCACACACACCGTCTGAAGGAACACACAGCTCTCTGTTGCCAACATGGAGGATCGAGCCACACACACACACACAAACACACACACACACACACACACACACATACACACACACACACACACACAAATGCAGGAAAGGTGTATTGTATTGCAGCTTTAAATGACAAATACGATAATGTATGACTGAAAATGAAGGTTAGCTCAGTCAAAATGTGTTTTGAATGTTTTGATTACTTAATGTTACCTATAAAATAATAAGAAATGAATATATTTGCAGAAAATATCACCCCTATGTTGCTTCATTTGCAGATTAATTAAAGCAGGCATATAAAAGAATCCAATACAGGAAGTCACCATTCCTGCCACATAGAGGCAGCGGTAACTAGTTGTCTTGTGTTTCACCTCCATAGTGACTGATCCTTACAGGGAGGATAGAGGAACATATTTAAATAAGATTGCATTTAATTTGATGTCTTCCTTTTTTATTTTGACGAGAAATTAGAGGCATTTTAAACATCTGGAGATAAGACCGAGGAGAGCAGTGTGTGCTGAAAGGAAAGCAAGCTCAATCTTGGCAACGGTGTGCGTTTTGCCTGTGTGTGTGTGTGTGTGTGTGTGTGTGGTGTGTGGTGTGTGTCTGGGTGTGTGTGTGGTGTGTGTGTGTGTGTGTGTGTGTGTGTGTGTGTCTTGGTATCTGTTGCCACTCTTCCACTCTTTCAATCCAGTCTCATCGCCCTCCGTCACATCAGGAAGTGGAACACGTCAGAAAAGTCTAGCAGCTAATTTTTAACATTTTTTTAACATTTTTAAATATATCTAAGAATAAGTGTATTCTGGCAGCCTCTCATACTTTCAAATTGTGCAGGTGATTTGGGGTAATTACACCTAAAGTAAACACTTTATTTTCCTGCAGGTTCGTGCTTTTTGGAGCTCTATTTTTTACCCCTGCAGTCAGCAGAGTCCACGGAATAAAATATAATGTGTTGTTTTTTATTCTGGAATAATCCAGGTTTTTAAATCCAGGATAGAACAGTGGCCCTGCAGGGAGGCTGAGTGGCAGGATCTTTATCCAATCTTTTAATCTGCCTCGATTTATAAAATTAAAGAGCATAAGCCGACCAACATACAGTCTCTTTATTCCCTTTAAATACATGAAATCTAAAATCACACTAATTATTTTTTATTTATTTATCCTGCATTTGTGTTGTTGAAACTAAACAGGCCGGAAGCAACGTGATGCAAATAACATATTATGTATATTTTCTGGTTATTTATAAGCCAAATGTTGTCTTTGATCTACCCTTAATATTTACAGAAACGTATTTTTTTAAAGATTATTTTTTTGGCCTACAGTAGAAGGACGTTTTGTTATTTTAGGGCTTTGAACGCACAGTAATGATCTCACTGCATGATCCCTATTTAGTTGTTGTCTGGTTTCTGCAGGTATAGCCTTTACACTCCAGCTCCATCTGTACATGCTAACTGTCTTTTAATAATCAGGTTCCGAGCAGCAGAGATGTTCCTCTTCCATCTTGAAGGCAGATTATAAAGAGAGAGATTAATAACTCCCGGAGGAACAGAAGGTGATGCTCGCCCTTTGATGCACGAAAATAAATAACTGTGATAAACACTTGGTTTATCCTGAATAAAAAGCTGTACAAAGGAATATTACGCAGCTGTTAAACCCTTAATTGTATAATATCCTGATTTATTAAGGTGTTGTTTTGACCGCCAATCAAAGTGTGTGTGTTTGTTCTGCTGGTTGATGACAACTGCGTGTGACCTGTGGACACATGAACAGCTGCCTGCAGGAAACAACATGCTGCAAAGTTTAAATATTAAATGCTGTTGCTTTAAAAAATATATAGAAGAAATGAATTATGTTTAGTCTTTTTTGCACATCGTCCTGCAGACTACAGGCTGTGATGTGACGCCACGGGATGTCCACTGCTCTGCTTTAATCAGTATTAGTATTTAAGGAATATAAGCAGCATGACACATCATCGGCCTGCAGAGACCTCTCCTCTCCAGCCTCCTCTCCTCCTCATCCTCATCCTCATCCTCGGGCCGATTTACACTCACTCCCCCCCCCGGATCCCTAACGCAAAAAAAACCCGGTTGCACACTTTCCTCTTCAATAAGGAGGGTAATAAATGTCTTACGTTGCAGTGGCACTCCGAGATCTCCGGATAGGTAAACTCTTCACGGGATCTCTCTGTCGGTAGGACCGCCGCACTTTGCATCATCGTGATCCGCGCGCATACACCCGCAACACCCGTCCTGTCTTCTGGAGAATCAAAAAAAAAAAGAAGTATGATGGCTCCTCTCTGTGCAGGTGGACTGGGGGGTCGAGGAGGAGGAGGGGGGGGGGGGTTTCCTTCCTCACTGTCCCAGAATCTGTCCCTGTTAGTCAGTATATGATCCCCGGGGTCTGGGTGTCGTGCCGTGCCGTGCCGAGCTGTTTTTGGAAATGTTTCCGAAGGGCTAACTGCTCCATGCAGCGCTGCAGGGGCGGCTGCGGCGTGACGTCATCACCGTGGAGGGCCAATGGGAGCGCAGAAGAGGAGGCCCCCGGTGGCGGGAAGCATCCTCCATACGGTGACCGGGGAGGAGGAGGAGAGGCTCCGGCGGACAAATGTCCCCCGAGAGGCGGGACCTGCATCCTGGGGAGACTTTAAATAGCTCTCAGTGCTGCCAGTGGCTCGTGGAGGGGCCGCGAGCAGGGGGGAGCGGAGGGTCCCCGCGTGCAGCGTGCAGCCAGGAGGAGCAGGGAACTTATTTAGGGATTTGTAAAAAGATCGAGAGTTTTCCTTGCAGATTTCACTGCTGCGTATCCATTGCACGATCATTATTTTGACCCCTTTTGGAAAATATTAATGAAAGTTTATAATCAGCAAATGGTCCCGCACTGAGGAGAAGCAGGAACTTTTTTAATTAGGGATTTGTAAAAAAGGAGGATATAGTTTCCCTTGCAGATTCACTGCTGCGTAGTCATTTCCACGACTGTGTGATCATTTCTACATTTATTTTGACCCTTTTTTGGAAAGTATATCAACATTATTGGAAGTGGGATGATGACATACTGAACTATATCACCAAATTCAATTAGATCCATTCATTTAATATGTAATTGTAATTGAGCTACAAGACGGTATACGCTTAGATGTGGTTGTAATTATAAAAAATGAATAGGGCAAGCCTCAAAGGAAGAGGAGGGGTCCCATGCGCAACCAAAACAGAAGGAACTTCTGTGGTCATTGGTCCATTTATTTTCTATTTGGAAAATGTTCAACATTAAATGGACGTGTTTTACATATTATGAATACTGGTTGCTTATTCATTTTGCATTCCCCAACACCTGTAACAACAATTTTGTAACATAAAATATATACTTTATACTACAGGTAATTTACTACTGTCATTCTGCTTTGTTTTTTTCTTGAAATGTGTAATTTGTGTATATGAATGCCCACTTAATACGGTTTTAAAACTGTTTTATTTTGTCTCTATCAGTGCTGTGTCTTTGCTGTAGATTTCCACTCTAATAAAGGAATTCTGATTCTGATATTAGAAAGTGGTGATACACTGATATCACCAAATGAAATGAACCAAATTGAGCTAGAACTCGTTTCTACATTTAGATGTGGTTGTAATTGTAAAAAAATGCCTCTTATAATCTGTTAATTCTCTTAAAAACAGCCTCCTTCCATCACTTTAAATATATTTCCACATGGCATTTCCACATGACATTTCCACATGGCACACTGAGCTGTCACTATAGAGCAGAGGCTTTATGGGACACACGTCTGCGTCACATCCACCTCCACCTGCCCGCTGACACTCCTCATCTCACGGCCGGAGAGTGAGGCTGATTCCCGGGGAGCTGAAGGAGCAGAGTCCCTGCGGAGGGCCGGAGGTTCAGGGAGATGAACTCAGTCTTCGCTTCCAATTTAGATCAAGAGGAGGGAAGAAAAAGCAACACAACACCACACAACACAACACACACCAACACCACACACACACACACACACACACACACACACACACATACATACACACACACACACACACACCCCACACACACACACACACACACACACACAGAAATACACGTGCACGTTTCACGCTGACTTTGATTTCATCCAACTTCGTCATAATTTGGGTAAATGTTACTGATTTCTCGGCACTTTTCAATGTAATAATTATCCACTTTTAAAGCACTTCTATTTTTTTTTTGCATTATTTCGATTTTCTTTAGGTATATGAATCTTGCATTGTTGGAGGTTGTCTGCGAATAGCCATTGTGCATAAAACCTAGGAGAAATATAACAAAAGCCTGTAATAATGTTGTGTATAATCAGAATATTAGCATATAAATCATCTTATTTAATATATAGAATAAATTAAAAATAATAATATGAATAATGATAATAATTACAGACTTGTCTTTTGGTGGAATAAAAACGTTAAATACAATTAAAAAAATACTAGAATATAATGTTTCGCAGTGTGCAGAATGAGTGCGTAAACGTTCAAAACAGTGCCGTATTTTGCGTGTGAAATACCCTCTGCGCTACATCTATCTTGCTGTTTTCTCCGCATGTCTTCCCAGTGTATTCCGAACACACGACTGCTCATCCATTGTCTCACATCCTTTATATTGTGCAGGAAACGCAATCCATACGCCGCTGCTTAATGCTCCAAATGTAATTAGTAAATGAAACGCACATCAAGCTGATTAAAAAAGGAGGATGCATGTTGCAGGAATTTCACGCCAAATATTCAACCTGTTAGTTTCTCACACAGGTGTAGGCCTATACACATTTATATATATATATTATAACCTGCATAAGGTGCAGGAATCCTCTTGGTCTCACTTATTTTCATTACACACTTCTCCCCTGCAGATCATTCAATTTATCCAAACTATTCAATACTCTGATTGTTGGGATCGCGAGCCCTTTAGCTGCCCTGGAAAACAATGCAGATAAAAATGCTCTTAAACCTGTCAGCAAAGGGCAACACTATTAGAATAATTGACGGATGCAAAAACGCAGAAGACGAGAGAACAAGTGAGCATTCGCTGCAGAGAGGCACAGCGAATCACCATTCTCATCCTATACAGGAAATGAACAAAACATGTGGATGTCATGAAAATGTATTTATAATGCACAAGATGGCATTATATATCGAGATGTGGATGCACAAATGTATATGTTTAAAGATCTCTAATTGTGTGCTGACCCTCAGTAATAAATCACGTTTAATTTAATAACAAATAGGGTGTTTTAACCTTAAATAATGCACTCAAACACAAGCGAAAAGAAAGCAATAATAATAGTAAAACGATAAGAAAAAGCTCTTTCTGCAGGAGGTGAATGATTGCACGAGAAATGTTATATTTTAGACCTTTAATTTGACCTGCTCCTCACCAATAAATCACATTTAATTTAATAACAAATACTTATCAATGCACTCAAAACCAAGCAAAGAATAATCGTAAAATGATGAGGAAAAAATGCACTTCTGGAGAAAATGTAATATTTGTAGAAATTCATCCTTAAAAAATGCGCAGCAGAAACTCAGGAAAGGAAATAATGGTGAAATGATGATAATGCTGCTCTTTGTGGGGGTGACTGATATTCAGCAGCTACAGTAGAGGAAGCACCATAACTCACAGTGAGGGTCGCCTCCTGTGCTCCGCGCTGACCCAGCAGGATATAATTAGATCTAATATTTCAGAACAGCACATCATTGACATGTTAGATCCACAGATCCTCTTCAGGAACACAGAAATGCTAATATACGCAGGAGGAGCTCTGATGCAGCACTGACTGCGTGATAATGAGACAAAACATTTCATAATTAATGTATTTATTATTATTTTTTAAGGTTGCAAATTCAGGCTTTATGCTTTAATCTGTTTAACATTATTTCTAATTTTACAGAGCCCACATATTGAAGAGTAAACACTATTGCACGCATATTTGTGTGCAAAAACAGCACATTTCCCTGTGTATTCATAATCAGTACAAAGGAAATTATATCTCAGGAGGAGCTCTCTAGCTGCTCCATCATGAGCCAAAACATCATGCATTTATTGTTGGGGAAATATTTTCCAAGGCCCATAACTTTGACCCAGTTGATCAGTTCATGTCCTGACTGAGCACGCACCTGTAACCTGGGCTGCTGTGCTGTCAGTGTTTTGTCTCCCTGCTCCTGCCTGTTGGCGTCAGCTGATAGAGGTGTTATGATTCTATCTTGTTCTGCACAATGTTGCTTATTCTCTCTGAACAAGCTAAATACACGGGTCTGGGGTCGAGTTCTTCAGAATTGACGTGGCAACTCTACCGTGAAGTCAGAACCTCTGGCTCTTTGACTTGTCTTGTGAATTCTCCGGCCGAAGCTCCTAATAAACCCATCAGTGTTTGCCATCAAAGCTCCAGCTGTCCCCGTGTCTCTCTGAGTCGGTGACTCCTCCTGCATTGCTACACAGAAGTTTCCCCCACTTTTATTATTATGTATAATGTGTGCAAATTCCGGCTTTAATATGTTTGGTATTATTTCCAGTTTTGCAGACGCCCACATAGTGAATATCGTATATGCAAAAAACAGCTGTTGCACATGTCCCTGTATATTTACAATATACAAAGGAAATGCACTTTATCTCAGTGACTTTACGTCAGGGAAGATGCTTTTTCTGAGCTTGCAAGATGAATATATAGAGCAGATCTAATAATTAGATCATGTATTTCGAACAGCAGTCAAAAATACAGAAAACCTCTCTATTCATATACATATTATATGCACAATGAGACTCTAATACAGCACTGACTGCTTCACAATGAGCCAAAACATCAACCATTTAATGCATGTATTACAATTTAATGTGTACAAATACATGCTTGTATCTGTTTACCATTATTCCAATTTCACAGACGCCCACATATTGAGTATCTAACACTATTGCACGACCATCTTTGTTCAAAACAGCTGTGGCACATTTCCTTGTATATTTACAATCACACAAAGGAAGTGCATGACACCTCAGTGACTTCCCGTCAGGAGGAGGCTTTTCTAAGAGCTTGCAGAATGAACACAGCAGCAGCACCGTGCAGCAGACACATACCTAATCACCGTGATTCTTCCTCTCTCTTCCTCCTCCTCTCTTCTTCTTCTTCTTCTTTTCTTTTCTTTTCTCCTCTTTTCTCTGCAGGATGATCGGTGCTCTTGGGGGCAGACAGTC